GCCACTGGGCTCTGAAATGACTAGAAGGGAGGTTTTCAAACTTTAGGGTGAGTTAGTATCACATGGAGGCCTCCTTACAACATGTATTTTGTATCCTGTGCCAGTATTTCTGTGTTGTCATCTGGAGATGCCACCTCATTTATGGATGGAGCTGATGCAGCCCACAGAACTCTGGCCAGGGGGTCAGGAAACTCAAGTTCTAGCCCTAACCATGACCCTACGTAACATCCTTTCTTTTCTCCTCCTCCTCTTTTCAAGCAAAGGTAATGAAAAAAGAGGGAAAGAGAAAGTGGTAAGAGACAGATGGACCACTTTTAATTCTCCTTGTTGTAAAGGAAGGTCTGTGCATTGTTAGACTTACTAGCAGTTTGGGGTGTAACATCAGGCCGGGGACCACAGTGACGGGATCTCATTTTCAGGTCTGACTCTATTGTGTCCTTATGTTCTGCAATTAACTTCTTGGCTCTCACATTTATTTATAGGTATTGATGACATTTCCAAAGCTCTGAATTATATGGGTTTTTTTTCTTAGACATTTGAGACTGTTGGTTCCCGTTAGATCTATAATATCAATGACAGCTGTGTTGTGTATACAGTGCTCATAGCAACCAAAGGCAGTTTCTCCCCTATGATCCTTCAGAACAAAGAAGGCAGGGATGTTAGAGGGGGGGCAGAGAGGGGGTTCTGAGGGGAGAAGGGTCATGAATATCATGGACCCTTCTGGATGTTTCCACAGGGAGGGGGTGGGAGTATCCTCCACAACAGAAAGCTCTGAGGGGCTTGAGGAGTTTAAGTTTTACCCCCGTGTGCCAGCAAATACAGGCTCCCCCAAGTTGGCGACTGAGGACAGCCTCCTCCCTCTGCCAGACACTGTGACTGCGGATCAATGCAGCTCCCATCCCGGTGACTGGAGGGCTCCCCTGGCCTTTCAGGACACCGTGGAGAGGTCACAATTCTTATTCTTCTCACGGTCTAGAACAAAGAATCACAGTGAGACCTGAGGAGACTCTGTACCAAAGACTGTGATGCAATAAGAGAACTAATTTTCTGTTCTTAGATCACTGAGGATGACGGAACAGTGGCTCTAAAACGTCTCATAGATCTGCAAGCTGAGCCCCTGTCAGCTGCCACTCCCACTCGTCTGTGTATGGTAATTATCACAGAGAAAAAATCACTCACTTTCTCCCCACTGTCCCCGGTCCCCAGTCTGGTAAAGCCATATGCTCGACCAAGGCGAGAGGGCGACCAGGAACATGGACACCGGTTCACGCGGAGCTACGATACTTAGAAAAGAATCCAATGTGTTTTTGTGCTTTCTGAGCAGTGGTTCAGCCCCTAGTGCCCCAAAGGCAGGCCTTAACAGACAAAGAATAGGGTCTCAAAGCTTACAAAGCTCTGGGGAGTTTCACATTTTCCACTCTCAGAAGGACAAATACACAGCGTATTTGATACTATGATAGAAGAGAAATCCCTCAAAACGAAAATACAGAAGTGGAGTGTCTAGGCAGGCAGGGCCTCTGCATCCCGGGAGGAGTGGCGGTGAGCCACCTAGCCTCCCAGGGCTCCCCGGCACACAGCTGCCGGTTGGCCTCCCGGGACCCACCCCCTCCGGGGGAGGACCGCGCGTGCTCCCCTCTCCCAGAACGGCTGCGATCTCTGCGGCCGTGAGACGCAGAAGCCGAACAGCCTTTTTCTAGCTCCACATCAATGGTCTCATCCAGTGCAGTGTTGAAAAATTTGACCCCTGAGAAAAAGATTCTGTCATCAATCAGCTTTAAGAAAAGCTGAGTTACACAAAGTTAAATTGGCGACTTCATAAAACTACTTGAGTTTTTAACAGCTTACATGTATCGCATGAAGCCTTTTCCCAGCTGAGTTCATCTTGAGACTCTTGCTGTAATTTCTAACAGGTCCCAGAATGTGTCCCACAGAACACACTGCCCAGTTTGGGAATCCCCGGTCCACTGGAAAGATTGCAGAAGTTGGAGTCAGGAGGGATAGAAGCCTAAAGTTTCAAGTGCCTTCTAATGTGGCACAATTCTTGCCACTGACAACCCCCTTGTGATGTGGACCAGCCGGGAGAGCAGGGCCTCCCAGGCGCTAATGTTCATCTGCCATCCATTCAGCAGGTGGCCAGGCGGGGAAGAAAGGCCCCAGCTGGCACAGCACTCAACCGAGTTTGACTTTTTGCCCATGGATGATGATGTGGAATCTACCCTCCTGGCCAGGCAGCTTCAGTCAGGCTGAGCCACACTGGGCACCGCACCGGGCACATCCAGCCTGCCTGCTCTCCGGGGACTGTGTTAGCCACCTGGGATGGGCTGGAGGCCCTAAGCCATGCCAAGGGGATTGGCAGTTTCAAGAAGGGGATAACAATGAGTAGCCTCTCCTTTTCAACATGCTTTTCTTACCTTCTCAGTCTGGCAGCTTCCATACTTTTTTATTTCCATAGCATTCCTTTGCAAATTGAAAGGAACTGCTGTTTAAAGTCCTTTAGAGATGCATAAGTAAGTGTAAGAAAAGACCTGGCCACCCAGCCCATCCGGTGGGTCCCTTGGTGTAGCCCTGCTTAGGGTAACCTGCCCGAGAGGGTTCAAACAACAGAGCTCAGTTCCCACAAGAGAGCCTGAAGCTAACTGAGCAGCCATTCTTCTGAACTGCTCAAAGTCTCTTCTTGATCATTTCACTTAGAGAACAGAGTGAAGAGGAGGTGTGATGCCTGAAACTTCACTTACCTGAGAGAAATAAAGATGTTACTAAAATCTCTTTTTGTTAACATAATCATCATTTAATGATAAACATCACTGTTTTAAGATCTATGGTGGCACCGCTGGAACTCAAGACAAGGCAACACACCTAGGAGGCATGGATGACACAGACGCAAGCATCTGGTTCCATTTTATTAAAAAACAGAACCAAACAAAATTTGCAACGAAATTTCCTGGAAGTCACAATCCTTTTCAAATCTTCATAGTTGTAAATTTTTTTAAACCAGTGCATAAGAACATGATTGATTGGACTTATTTACATTATAGTCTTCCATATAACAAAAATAGCCAGGTTGTACGACTGAATGTTTCCCACCATCATCCTTACTATTTCGTCACTAGCCCTGTATGAGACAAGCTGCTTATGTTCTCCAAGCACATAGAGAATAGAATAAAGCAAAATAAAAGTCCGTGTCTCCTGATAGAAGAGAAATCCCTCAAAAGACAGTTTTTTTAAACTTCTGTGTATTTCAAGAGAGATATAAAGTGCTTTGTAAAGAATAAGGTAGGTGCCTGATGTGGGGAAGAAGGACATAGAAAGAAATTTATACAGAAAAAAAAGACCCCCAAAACTACACTCCTTTAATCAATCATTAAATATGCCTGTAATTTTGTACAGAAGATGATGTTTGGATAAAAGAGCTACATAATGCACTATTAAATTTTTCAGCAAGTAAGAGCTAACTGAAGTACAAATTAAAAGTCACCCATGCAGTCAGAACAACTTGTGATTTGAGTCATGTGGCAAATAAATAATGGAAGCTCAGTGTCAGGATCTGTACATGGAGAAGATGGGGAATGCTGTGCTGGGACCATCTGCAGCCTAGCCAGGAAGGCCTCAGGGGAGGCTAAGCAAACTATATCTGTGGTGTCATTCATTTCACAATACAAGCACACTATGCATGTTCAGGAAAGATTATTTTCTTGCTAGCAGAGAGGTACTAGAGATTGATTTATGATGACATGTCTATTTCATAATGGGAATGTATTAATTTGTAGCAGATTTTTTTCAGTGGAAGTAATGTGCTATATACAGAGGCATTAAAATAAGGTTTTTAATCACAGTATTGAACTGGCAATTGCTGGTCATGGTCTGCAGTCTACAAAATTGGGTGTCACATATGTACTGCTTAGGGGGCTCCCCTGGAAACTAGAATAATCATACTCCCAGCTCACAAACATTTTAAAGAACAGTACCTATTATTTTTCAGGAAATGAATGGAATGGAACTTTTCGCAAGTACAAAAAGACTTCAAGTTTTCTAAATATAAGGGACATCCCACTATAAAAATAACAGTCCCTCCCTCCCCTCCCCCACCCCTACAACTCTCTCTAATTATAAAATGGTACAACCATTTCAGATCACTTACGTGAAAGCCAGAAGTAAATATATTATGTACATGTACAAAACATGTCAGTATTTCACACCATTTACATTCATATGAAAAAGTCTGTTTATTGATCTTCCTTTGCAATTTCACAAGAATAAAGTTGAGATCAGTTACAGAACAATTAGGTCCTTCCCTCATAACTCTGCACAAATCTTTCAGCCAGAAACCTTTCAGCTCTTTCTCTGCAAAAAGAGCAAACAATATGCTTCAACATTTTGCAGAAGAAAAGGGGTGCTGACAGTGAGATCTTGTGTGGAGTTCTTCAACTGTTCAGATTTTGTGACTTTCTTTCCTTTGACAAACAAGGACCAATTCTCAACTACTGAGGAAATTGTATGATGAAAGGCAGGTAACTACTTGAGGAAATGGTGAGACCCCAAATTAATTGGTTGTAAGAGTGGGGATTATTCCAGCAGAGGGCGCCCTACCCCCTTGCAACAACATCTTATGAATAGTTAAGTACCGTAGACGCCCACACAGAGGCAGGCTGAGAAGTCCTCTTGCTAGCCGTCATTCAAGTGCTCTACTGTCTGGTTGTACAAGCAATAGTTTGGTATTTTCTCCAAAAGAGTGGGATACACTGTAATTAACTAGCTCTTACACATGAAAATTCTTTGGCTGTTTAAAATCTTCACATCTTCAGATTTTAAAATCTTCCAAGACAATAATATGCTGAGTTAAATGAAGCACAGGACTTGCCCAGACATTTGAAGGAAAACACTAGACTTTAAAGCTGGTGTGGTACTAAGGCCATGATACAAGTCTTAGATTTCTGGTTTTGGTGAGGTCCATCACCAGACTGCAAGATAAAGCCTGTAAAAGTTCAGTTTCCTTTGACCAGGCAACCCACCTTTACTTATATCTGTGAGAACATTAGAAGGAAATCAAATGACTCAATGGAAGAAACACGTCCATTTGGAAGGTGATCAGTCTTTGGTTTATACAGCACACATGGGCCCCATATTTTCTCTGCTTCTCCAAGCCCCTCGCTTCAGCAAGGAATACAAGACCACAGACATTCTGCCAAGCAGTGACTCTGGGTAACTCGGGTAACTCAGGTTGAGCTACCTTTTCCATAGATTTTCTCCCTTGCCATTTAGACCTGCAGACCTCTTAAGAGATGGAGATTTTTGCCTTATCATTATAATGAACACACATTCATCAGGGGGCCACAGAGCAAATGTCTCTGTATTAAGGGCAAGCGTCAATAGTAGCATATGGAGGAGAAGGTCTGTGATCACTGAGCGTCCTGAAAAGTCACTTTAATATGAAACACTCCATGCAGGCCTAATTCAGATGGTGGTAAGGAGAGATGTAAACGACACCGGCAAGTTCTTTGCAGAACAAACAGGTTTTGTAATTAAAGGGCTTGATAATTAAGGGTCCACATCGAGGATCTGGAAACACTTGAGTTTGGGGATGATACTTAACAGTGCCATCAAAAGGCTCACAGCAGAAGAGTGAGTCTGCAGGACTTTAAAAATTATTGTTCCTATTACAAAAGGCCTGGAGCTGTGAGATAGGGGGAAACACAGAGAAAGGAGAGGAGTGATGATGACAGATGCATGCCTGCTTCTTGATTAATTTTTTCAGGCAATACCAGCCTTTTGTGCAATTGAGTGTTTAACTCATTTACACCCACCCCAGAAAAACCGGGTCAGCCTAAACCTAGGGAGCCAGCATTGATTCGGGGAGAGCATCCACGGTCACATCCTGCTATCCTTTTTCCTGACTTCCTGCAGGGCAGCCTTTCCACCTCCTTTTAACTGCCATTGCGAAAAGGACTCTTAGTGCCCAGCCCTGTAAAAAGACGAAGAAGGGACTTTTTGACACAGAGCAGTGCACAGGGAACTGTGTGTCCTTCACTTTAGGAGAACAGTTTCTTTGTGTCTCTTTTTCAGTCTTAAGGAAGAGGTGGCCTCTCAGATCACTTGTGAAGAGAAAGTTCTTATGCTTAGATGGTAAGAAGCACAAGTGGACATTGGGTACAATACAGCCCACATATTTTCCATGAAATCCTACCTTTGAAAGCCTATGGTCTCTAGAACTGGAGGTCACTAGAAGGTCACAAATGCTGGAAGATAATGGACCTAGACAGCATGCTGGAATTGTTACCTTACCATTATTTGCCTGGGAGACTTTTCTGGTAAGGAAGTCTGGAAAAAGGCAGCAGCTATAGGTGGTTTGCACTGAAGTTAGTGAACTAAGGAGTCATTGTGGAAGGAGTCAACCAGTGTGCTTCATCAAATCATCATTGTATTTCCACACAATGAAACAAGAAAAGACACCACTGAAAATAATGGCGATCACAGGGACACCACAAAGTAGCTCTACAGATCCAGACATCACAGGTTTCTGTCCCCCATCACAGGTGCCAGTCCCCCAAAATGGGAAAAGAATGTGTGCAGATGTTTGTACAAGGCAAGAGACAGGCAGTCAGAGAAAGCGAGAGATAGAGGGAAACAAAGAGACAGAGAAGGAAAAGAAATCTAAGTAAGAAGAGCCTGTAAAAAATGCTGCAGGAAATCACGTCCGGGGCCCTAGTGCCCAGGGTGGGTCCTTGCTGGGTGCTAGTCACAGAGGGAGTGACTCCATACCCCAGAGCTCCCTCAAGAGTTTCAATTTAATAAGATCTCTTTGTTTTTTATCAAGGTGATGCATTATTTATTTTTTATGCTCTGCAAGATTTTTCATCTAAACAAACTTGTAACTAAGAAAGAATCCTATGTAAGGCTGTCATCACTTTTGTTTCTGAAAGTCAGGTAGCTGCAGGGACATCAGGACAGCCACTGAGACAGCTGCTGGCAGTGTGGTCTGTGATATGCCAGACCCAGACCCAGACCCAGGAGGGTCCAGAGCTGTCTCACCCGCATGGGGGAAATGCAGAAAATAAAGCAAAGCAAAGCATATCTTTGGACAGACACTGTCCTCCACAGGCATGACCATCACTATGTGATGTCAGAATAGGTAGGTGCTGTTACTCTTAACTTTCTGCCTCCTCCAAACTCTCCATGTCCTCCTGCCAAGATGACAGAGTTGACATTTCAGGGGTGATAGAATCCTAAAGACTAAATCTGTATTTGTGATCAAGGCTCAGTTCTTCCCAAAAGGGACCAGCCAGATAGGAGGTAGCAATTCCTAGAGGTGAACTCTAAATTATTCTGAAGGGGTGGAAATGCTCCTTTTCTTTCCCAGCCTTAGGTGAGAGGTGGCTGCTGGCATCTCAGTTGAGAGCTGGCTGTTGCATGTGGTCATAATTCAGCAAGCAGAAACTGGGTGGCCATAAACCCACAGACTTTTTCTTAATAAGGCCACACAAAGTCTTATATTTGAAGTCAATGTGCAACTTCCCACCTTTTCCTCCCAAATCCCCAGGGGGCCCTGGGACTGGGAAATCCCTTCTACCCATCAGGAAGGAGAACTAGGGTTGAGGTAACATTGGGTGACTGCACTCTGGAATTCCATTTGGCCCCCGAGGGCCTTATCAGTCTCAGGTTTTGTCTTAGAGGTGAGGGACACTGCTTTGTTTCAGCACCAAATCAACATGAATTGGGTGACTTGTATAAAAACAACCAGTCATAGAAGGAACAGTAAACAGTAATGGACGTCAGTGGAGCAGTTAGAAAGGTCAGGCAGAAATTTCAAGAAAGGCAGTCTGAATATTTATTCATTACAAAACCAGCATATCTCTGGGCCTCTCAGAGTAGACTAACTTGAGTAGAGCCTCGTTCTCTCTCGAGGTAATTAGGTTTGAACCTTTTTTCTTTTTAAGGGTTGGGGAATCTTGGGAGAATTGGAGAAGCTCTAGACCTGAGCTGTCCAATCAGGAGCCATGAGCCACATGTGGCTCTTGAGTGCTGGAGAAGCAGCTAGTCCCAACTGAGATGTGCTCTGGGCATAAGCTACACAATAGATTTAGAAGACTAGAACAAAAGAGAAAGTAAAGTATTTCATTAATACCTTTTACATTAATTACATGTTGAAACAGTAATATAAGATGAAATAAATATATTCTTAATATTTTTTTTACCTGCTTCTTTTGACTTTTCTTCATGTGGCCAGTAGAAAATTTAAAATTTACATGTGTGACTTGCATTATATTTCTTTTGGACAGTGCCGGTTGGGACACTCACTACAGAAAAATGCCATCCTCAAATATACATGAAGTTCACACATACTTCTGGAAGATTCCCATAGCTTTTGGTAGTACTCTCTGTGAACCACCAGGTCCTTGGGTTAGAGTTTCCTCTTTTGGTGAAGAAAGCTGTAGGAGAAGGGCTGTTTCCATTTTTTTTCAACACTTCCATGTGGGTTAAACTTTTGTAAATACCAAAAGCCACAGAAAGATCCTCCAGAAACAATCCTTTGGTAAGTGGAGAGCCTCCTAGGCTCATGGGAACTGCAGCAGAACCTCCTTGGGGTCAGGTCTACAGGCCTCCTGGGTCCCCAACATCTATGCAGCATCCTTAGGGGCTGCTGAGGCCCCAGTACACATGTGCCACCAATCCCTGACTCACCTGGGCCCTGGCGGGAAGCAGTAACATGCATCAAACAGGGGGGTATGCCATCTGAAAGGCGTTTTCTCTTGAGTATGGAAAACTATTTAATTTATTTTGCTGTTGAATCATCCATCTGATTCCACTTGACTTGAGTTAATACCGAAATTTGTTTTGGGCAAAGATGACTGAAGAAGAAAGAGTAGGTGGTGCAGCAGAAGTGTGCTGACTGAGAAAAAGAAACACCTTGAGACGAGAATGCCACACTGAGAACTCGGATTTGAAGGCATCCAAGGACAGCAGTCTCTGTGGCTAACAGCAATTTTAAAACAAGGCAAAACAAAACAACTCCTCCTTGGACTTAAAACATCAACCATTTAGACAGTCATTCTCCGCGACATAAGAGTGACCAATCTCAAAAGCTGCGAGTGCATGTTACATGGCAAGTAACTCTGCCACCCCAAGGTATGAAGTCTGCTACCTGTCATTGCTGTCTGCAAGAAATGGATCCCCCCAGGCAAGATGCTAATTAGTGGTCATAAGGCCAGAAGAAGCCTTGGGCATCATCTTGCTGGACTCTTTCATTTCACAGATGCAGGATTTGAGGCCTCGCAGGCCTGGGCTCATCCCAGCCTCCTGCCCCCTGGCCCAACAGTACAGTCATTCCTCCCTGCCTGCCTTCCCACACGGAGATGCTGGATCTCACTAGGCAGTGCTGGGATCCCAGAGGCATGTGACATTTCTGAAGGTGGTAATCATTTTTCTTACCTTGCTGCCTACTTTAGAGAGCATCAGAGAGGAAAGAATCATTGGAGGTGGTAAAAAACAAGAGCAACTTGTGATCTCCCTTGACAGACACTCCATGTGTCAGCGGGCAGCGAGGTTTTACACCTGAGCCAAACTCTGTTGTTTGGATGAGTGTTAGTGTAATGAGGTGGAAAGACCCCATCAAATACGTAAAGACCTCAGCAAGGTACGTTTCCTTTCCTAGTTAACCGTGCAGCAGTGAGAGGACGAGGTGATCTGTGATCTACTCACTGCCTCACTTATCTTGTGATCTGGGTGGACCAAATGTATCACAAAACTGCTGCTAAAAAATAGCACATCTCTGTCATACTTACAAAAAAGAATAAAAACACAAACAGCTAAAACGTCAGTGGGTTTCAGTATTCATTTGACACTTCTTCTCCTTTCTCTCATTGTTCCTCTCAGTGAGGAGAAACTTGAATTAGCAAATTCCCATGCTGTATGTTTTAGATCAAATGGTTTATCAAGTCACACCTTCTTCCTCACTTAAAACCTAGACGCACTCAGGGAGCCCTGGGAAGCTGTCTGCTTGAGGAGTCACTTAAATCCTTCCTGGAGACCTGGCAAGGTTTAACAGGCATGTGTTGGCATTAAAGTAAAACCCAGGTGCTCCTGTGTTCCCCACCGTGTGGGACACCAGGTTCAAAGATGACTGGATATTTTCTAAAGCCTTTGATCTTCTGCAGAAGTCACTTGTGGAGGTGACAAAAGAGTGTTCTAGCTTTGGGGAAATTAACATGACAGACATTTTGCTTTTGAGAAGAATATGTAGTTATCTGGTCTTAAAACTAGGCTTGCAGTCCCAGCTAGGAGCCCCACAGCCACCCTGAAGTGGCCTTCTGAGTTCAGAATTTCAGCCAAACACTGTAAGATCTGGACAATTGCAGTGCCTCCCTAGAGCGACCTTCTCGTATCATGTGGGCCCTTATGAGAGGCTGGCAAGTGTGAGGTGGCTGGAAATATGGGCAATGGCTTTACCAGAGTCAAAGCTCAGTGTGGTGGTCTCTGGAAGCTGGGATTTGCAAGATCCACTTAAAAGAAAATAGATTCTAAGTATAAGCTGGCCCTAGACTGTTTCAGGGTGCTGCAGCACCCTCCCAAAGCCATGCACACTTCATGCTAAAAGGTCAAGGTGATTCATCTCAGAGATGGAAATACAAACTGATCATAGCAAGAAGTGGTGCTTCTAAACAGAACTCTATAACAAAAGCTAGTGAATCGGAGGAAAAACAAAAGACTGGATAGAAAGTAAACTACACACAGTCTTTGAAAAGAAACTGCCAAAGAAATTGAACAACATTCCCCAAACAAAACAACAAGACCTGGAAAAAACTGAAATGAAACTAAGAAGCCCTAAAATTGTCTTTTCAGTCAGTTTTAGTGCTTCTGAAGTGTGTGACTACAAGGACATGGGAGGGAAAACCAGCTTTCGACTTCCAAGTTACCAAGGCCCTGGACTGTTGTAGAGATGGAGAAACTGTCCTGATTAACATGACTTTGGATACTGCTTCTCATTACCATTCTTGAGCAGAGTGCCCTGGAGTCGCCAAGGTATACGGAAGGTGGGTGTGCCCATTCCAAGTCTTGGGACAGTCCTCCCTTTGTTCCCCTAGGGTCCAACCGATCCTTCTTTTCTATATTTGTCATTTCAAGATTTCACCTCTTCACAGTCTTGATCAGTGGAAAGTTCTACATCAGACAGTCCAACCTCCATTGCCATAATCAGCGAGATGTCAGAATCACTGCTTACTGCTGGCTCCTGCTCACCTGGGAGGAGAAAGCAAAGTTCATGGTGAACACTGATCTATGTCTCTGCATGCTGGGTTCTTCAATACAATTGTCTTTAATAACATTTCTTGGAAGGCCAAGAGAAGGAATTAGAAAAATTGGCTGTTTTGTAAAAACAATAGAATTAGAGCCTCAGGCTCACACAGTAGTCCAAAATAGATTCTAAATCCATTTTAGAAAGTTAAATCTATTTCAGAAAGTTAAATGTAAGCAAAAGAAATTAATGAAGCTAAAAGACAATATATCTTGTAAACACATATCTAAGTAGGGGAAATTCTGTATGAAATAGCAATTGAGCAATTCACAGAAAAAAAGGATTGATAAATGTGCATAGCATTTAAAAAATACCAAATACATGACACATAAGATCAAAGGCATATATCACACCGGGAATATTTGTAAAAATTTCACAGAGGATTGCATTTTTAACACATAGGTAGCTTTTAAACTAGTAAGGAAAACTAACAGTCCAACAGAAAAGTTGGTCCCAATTACTATTATGCAATTCATAGAGTACAATAAAAATGACTAATGAATCAAAGGTAAAAATGAGTTATTCCTTTTTGTTTATGAGATCTTCCACACCTTAAAAAAAGTAGTATTATATTTAAGGGTACACTGAGGTAGGTCATCGGTATATTGCATGTAGAATGGTGCAATTTTCATGCAGTAATTTTATTTCCAGAATGTATTATGGAGAAATAATTAGAGATGCAAAAATATTCATTTCAACATTATTTATAGCAGCAAAAGAGTTCAAGTAATGAAGTCCAACAAATAGGGAATATCTGAACAAACTATGCTGCTTCTAATGGGCAATCTTCTTGTTCTAACTGTTAAGTGATGCTTCCAAAGAATCTGTAGTTACATAAGGAAATGCTCACAGTATTCTGTTTAGTGAAAGCAAAAGCATTCAAACTTTATTGGCAGTGAGGTTGACAGAGAAAGTTAACTAGAAAACAAGGAAACAAAAGTGTTAATAAAAGTGGTCTCAAGTTTTGGGATTTATATTGATTTTCTTTTAGAATTTTTTCAGATTTCACACCCAAACACTCTGCAGTGGACAAACAACATTCATTCACTCAAGACCAAACGGGTCCCCAGTATGTGCTAAGGGTTGTGCTACATGTCAGGAATAGTAGGTGAGACAACTCCTGCCTTCAGCGAGCTTACCTTCTAGTAGGTGGGAAGATTGTTAGCTAGTCATTCACAGAACATGGGGATAAGCATATGCTGGAAGATGTGCATGGTGTTACAGGAGCAGGTAAGAGGGCTCTGTAACCATTTCCTGAGTCAAAGAAGCCTTCCTGTAGGGTATGATGTCTAAACGGAGTCCTATAGGATAACTCGTATTTAAGCCAGATGACTGAGAAGGAGGAATCTTTTAAACACTAACAATAGCAGATAGCTAGAGGTGATAGGAAGCCTTGTGCAGACGGACATCAGATCATATTTAAATATGACTGGAATGCAGAACCAAGCTTGGGAACATGCACAGGGAAGGCTGGGGAGTTTGATTACATAAAAGGCAGCTTTAAAGCCAAAAGATCTTGTATGTTCCATTGCCCTGCAGAAGCAACACGCAAAAGACCAGCAAAAAGGTCTACATACCAAAGAATGCTGATAGTCACAATACTTTTGCTCTAATAACCAGTGATATATTTCATGTTGAGCAATGGTTAAGGAAAATCGTAACAGAGTAACAAAGAGTTATGGCCTTAAGAATCAGTTTTAGAGAGATGGGATGTTACACAGGAATAAACCCAATTGAAAGACAAAAGACTGAACTTGAATATGTTTCCCAGGGAGAATTCACTACTTTAAAGTGTAATGAAAGTTGAAATATTCTTATTCCTGGAGATAAAAAGTGAGGACTATATTACAGAGATATCACTGTTCTTCCTTCTTTCTTTTTTTTGCAGTGGTTCATGAACCAAGTCAGCACACAAGAAGCCAAAATTCCAAGCTCACAGTTAAACTGGAAATCAACTCAAGAGCTCATCATGGAATGATTTATGACTTTCATGTAGATCTAGTTTTAAAAGAAAGAAGCACAGCTATAAGCCAACTCATTCAGAGCTCCACAGTGATAGCGCACCGTACCTGCAGTGGCCGTTTCTCACCTTTGCTCCTGGCTTTTCAGCCACCAGCCTCAGCAGATTCCATGGTGTTTTCTATATCAGAATGTGTGAATTGAGAGCCAAAAGGGCCGTAAGGGCTGCTATAACTATGGGCTACATTCATGATGCTATTTTGGAAACTGATTATCCTGCACAGCTCTAGGCAAAGATCAATTCAAATGAATAGAGATAGGCAAATAAAGGTTCAATATTTATGATGTGACATCATATGAACTACATCATCTAATCATTCTGCATTTCAAAACTTAAAACAATGACCTGGAGACATTTGAAACTGTTCTTTACTCTCCCATGTTTTTAATGGAATTGGGTTTGTTCTAGAATTTTTAAAAGAAGCATTTTATTCGTTAGTCAAGGCAGATATTTTACTCTGAGGCCACAATAATACAAATGAAAACATTGTCACTAAAACATTTAGAGGGTTCTCTGTAGGTGGTACTCATTGAGGAGTGTATAGTAGCTATTAACAATAATATACATGTTCACTGAATTTTACCTCCTTCCCTGCAAAAACTAATTCACACACTTACAACATTGGCCTTTATGGAATTCTCACAACAATCCCATGATGTAGATATTATTCCCGTTTACAAATGAAAAAAAATACTCTTAGTCCATTTGACACAGGATAATAGCTACTTGATACATTTTCTTCTCTTGGTTTGTATGCATTTTAAAGACATTAAGAGAATTTAAACAGAGGGATATGATCCATTCAATATTTTAAAGAGCAAGATCATTCTTGCTGTTCAGTGAAGAATCAATTGGTAGGACAGAGGGTGAAGGGAATCTGGAGGAAACTCTTGCAGTAAACAGATGAAAGATGATGGCAACCTATTGTGGCAATAGGAATGGAGACAAAGGGACAAACTTAAGAAATATTTTAGAAGGAGGATATACAGAAAAGTGATGGACTGGACAAGAGCAGCAAGAGAGGAGAAAGTAGAGAATAACCCCACATTTCTCGAGTCACAGAAGTACCATCTATGGAGCTTAGAGAAACGGGAAAGACGAATGGGTAGGGTAGACCAAGACTTCAGTATTGTGCATGCTATGTTAGAGAAGACCATATCATCCAAAGGAGATGGTGGAGTTCACAGCTAGGTACTGGGGTCTGGAGTTTAAAGGAGAGGACATAACTGTCAATCAACAAAGGAAGTGAGAGGGTTCAGCATAGAGAAGGTATTTTAAACCATGGATAGACTGAGGTTTTTATAGGAAGACACTGTGGAGTGACAAGATAATACCAGGGGCAGAGCTCCCAGGAACACCAAAACCTATATACAGCCAGAGACTCAAACTGGTGCTCCTGACATGATGTGTTTGGCTTACACAATGTTTTCCTTAAAGTGTGAATTAGCTTAATATTTAAAAGTCAGAATATTTTACATACAAATTTACATTAGAAATTTATCTTGGAAAAAAGAAATATTTGGCAATACATGCCCAGTTCCTGGATGAAAATCACTGGGGGAAGCTGAGTAAGAGCTGCCCACTAGCTGAAGACAGAGAGGTTCTAGGTTGACTACCTTTCTCACTGGTTCATGTTACTTATCCTGTGTAGACATTTGAGTTTGAAATCTCATATTTACTGGGAGGGCAGAAGAAGAATGAGGGTAAGCCCCAGAAGAGACTGAAAATGGCCAGAGAATATTGTCATTGGTTCGTTTACTTCTTTTCTTTTAAATACGTTCTGCTTTTTTAACCTCCTTTATTGGTACTGACTCATGATTAACAATCCGTACTCAAGGAAATGAGATACTGTAGTAGTGCTGAACTGGCTCGGGTGGTTTTAAGACCCCTCCCAAGGCATCTAATTCTCAGTCTTGAATGCCTTTCTCATGGTGCTGAAGATCATCTAATTAGATGGTAAGCAGGAAATAGTCTATTTTAAATGGAGCTTTGTGACCTATTTTGTTGACTTCTAACTACTGCTTTTGTCTATTTCCACACATTCTGGGTAAAATCCATCTGTAGCCTAACTGTGGTTAACCAAAAAATATCCGTGGTGGGATTTGTTTTATTAGTTCCATTTGATCCGTAAGTCATTTATGTCTTTGGTTTATCTCTCTCCTCTTTAACACCTAAAGTGTCACATGAAGACTCACAGGTCTCTTTCTGTGCTGTAGGCCCTGCGGCTGTGGTTCTGCTGCGGGTGTGATGTGACTGCCCGTGACAGTGAGTCTGGATGACAGTCCGAGTTCCTTTGGCCTGGGACTGGAAGATCCTGGGATCTGCCCTGTCTGCTGCTGGGCATGCCTGGCCTGTCTTTATCATTTCCTCGGCTAAGGCCCATATCTTTGTCAATGTTCCCCTTTTAGAATCCCACCACACCCCTTCATAAATAGGAGGAACTTGGTAAATGTTTGTAGCATTAAAACTGAAGTTCCTCTCTAGCCCTGTAGGTCTTAAGTTTTGTATTTTATAAGCTAAAAACAATATTAATGCTTACTGAGTACTTATTACATGCCAGAGACTATATATTCTATGTACGTAAACAGATAGTCTAATTTAATATTCAAAATTAACGTATGACATTGGAAGTATTATTATTTCTATAATCAGGTGATAAAACAGGCTCAGAAAGGTTAAAAACTTCCCAAGCTTACACTGCAGTAAGAATTGGAATGAAAACTCAAATTTACGTCTGAGTCCAAAATCTATGACCTTGGCCATATCTCTATTTTAAAATTGAGATTCTTAATCTGAAGATTAGTGGATTTGCAGGGGAGTCCAGGTACGTGAAATAACACATATGTTTTTATGACTATATGCATATATGCATTTTTTCTGGTGAGAGGGTTGATTTCATCAGATTCTCACAGAAACCATAAAAGG